TGCACTTTCAGGACTATGACCAAAAGAAAGGTGATGCTTTGATGAAGAAGAAAGCAAAAAAAGCGAGAGGCAAGGAAGAGGAGGTTTTCGTCCTCTACTGATTCTGATCCAATTCAGAACAGTGATGGGGGAGTGAACAATGGCGGTACATCGCAGATCCAGAATCAAAGTATTGCCAACACGGAAGGCTTTGTTCTTGAGGTCGTTTTACAGAACTCCAATGGCGGTGGGTTTAATCAACCGTCTCGTTCATCTGTTCAATGCTCTCTTGCACCAGCGGTCTTGAGTGGTGGGGCGAGTGATGTTGGCTCTCAAGAGGTACCCTCCCAAGTTCGTGGGGAGTCTGTTCGTGCCGGTGGACAGGTGGTGGATCGAGATACTAGCGAGGCCTATCATATCATTGATATACAGGAGGATCTGGGAATGACGTTCAAAGGGGTAGGAAACGAAGATGTGACGCGGGTTAAGGAATTTGAGGTGCGGGATCGAAATGAGAAGTTGATCTGGGAGCAAGAGCACGTTTATCAATGATTATATGCTCTTTCAATGCTAAAGGGCTGGGTAGTCGGGTGAAGAGGCGGAAGATCCGGGAGCTGGTGCAAGCGGAACATCTTGATTTTCTAGCTCTACAAGAGACCAAGATGGACGTCATCCCAAATAACTTTGTACAGCGACTGTGGGGAAACAGTGATTGTGGCTGGGTTTATCTCCCGGTAGTGGGTAATAGCGGCGGAATTCTATCCATTTGGAACAAGGTAAAAGCTTCTCTTGTCTTCTCTTTTATTGGTGAAGGCTTTGTTGGAGTTTGTCTGCAGTTTGTGGGGGAACTTAGATGCTGTTATATCGTAAATGTGTATGCTAAATGCAATTTGCGTGCCAAACATAGACTGTGGAGTGATATTCTTATGTCTAAGAGGGGGTTTGGTGATGGGCTATGGTGTGTGGTGGGCGATTTTAACTCGGTGAGGGATTGTCATGAAAGGAGAGGTGTAGGAGTGCGAAGTGTTGGTGGTCGTTCTACGGAGATGGTGGAGTTTGATAATTTCTTGAATGACTTGGAGTTGGTTGACATGCCACTTATTGGTAGAAGTTTTACATGGTTCCATCCTAATGGTGTTTCTATGAGTAGGTTGGATAGAGTCCTTATTTCATCCTCGTGGTTTGATGTGTGGGGGAACCCGAATGTTTGGGTCTTGGCTCGAGACGTGGCAGATCATTGCCCGCTTGTGCTAAGATATAGTTCTTTGGATTGGGGGCCTAAACCGTTTCGGTTTAATAACTTTTGGTTGGGTAATAGGGAGTTTAAAGAGGTCATCACTAAGGCGTGGGAGTCGCAACATTTTGAGGGGTGGATGGGGTTCATTCTCAAAGAAAGACTAAAAGGGCTCAAAGGGGTGATCAAGGAGTGGAGTGGAAGGACTTTTGGGGAGGTAGAGCATACTAAAAAGAGGTTTGTTGGGTTTTTGTGTGTTGGCTATATTTTGCAAAAACAATATTCTAGCAAGATGTTAGGCC